CAACTTTCACTTAGGCCCCACCCACTTTTGGCTTAGACTCCCCCCATTTCGAGTACAGATACAGATAATTTAGTTGGTTAAACAGATACAGACAAAGATACAGATAATAGTGTACTTGCTCTTCCCTAGCGTCACCCTGGTTCTCTTGTCAAAAAGCCTATTTTGCATTGGATTTTGGATCACTGCAGAAAATGAGCTCTGTGGAAAACAAACCTTTATGATACTTACACATTTCAGCAAGATAATCTTAACAAATGAACACCACTTTCATGATTTTTAAAGCCTACATACTATCGCCAGGAGTAAAAAGCTAGCATTAGGCTATAATCAAACTGCACCACGGTTGTATAACCTCAATGTTGCCACCACAGCAAGGCTGTAAAGATGTTTTCGGCGTGATGATGTTCTGTAGTCAGTGAGCCACTTGTTAGCAACCACTTTTTTGAGATACATAAAAGCTACAAAATTCATATTTGTTCGAGTTGGGTATTTGCTGATGTATTTTTTGTCATAGAACAAAAATGTCTCTTAAGCTTGTGTTAACCACAGACCTTGTTTCAGGTATCTAAAGAAAAACCATTCAGAAAACCCACTGACTTTGAGATGAGGGAACAGGGTGTGCTAAAATGCTAATTCATTTCCAGGTTTTAGAACTCATTCCTGCACCAGTCTACACAATACCGTCTAAACAGCAGCGTGTTAGCATTGTTTTTGTGGGCATGTTAGCATACTGATTTTATTGCTATGCTCAAAGGCTATGTACAGTTTCACAGAGCTGCAGTCTTCTTTTGAGACTAACTGTAGTTCTATGACTGACTGATACAAACAATTGTGTTTCTTTACTCGTAGGTGGATTTTGCTGAGGGATCTTATCACAGAGGATATTCTGTAATGCTGATACCCTATGTCAGCCCCATTTCCAATACTTCCTGTATTGCTATAAGTGAATCCCTGTCTGTAATGCATTGGATCTGTATCCAGCTCTGCCATATGGGAAGCAAATATCTAAACCCTCCCTGGCCAAGAGAGATATCTGAGGCTTAGAGGGCCGGAGGAAGTACTACCAGCTAAGCATAGTGATTTGGAGGAAAGGGGAGATTCTCTCTAAAGCATATGGCATGATTTAGACGAGATTTTCCTCCGAGATGGGAGCATGCACTGTATAAGAGTAGTGACTCAGGCATTTCGTGGACATAGCATTTACTCTAGGCTCAGAGGCCATGCCATCTCAGTGACTGGATTTTGTTTGTGTGTGTGAGAGCAGATCTGTGTGTACACCAAACATTCCTGGCCGGGATACCCTGCCTCGCTCTCTACTCAGCACATCTGACTGACGGATGCTCTGATTCGACCAAATCCACTTAAATGTCAGGAGGTAACATCCACTAATGTTGTCTAAACCAAAGCATCAAGACCAGAGCGGTGTTTACCGCTCATATCAATTCCCTTTTGGCATTTATGGCACTTGTGCGTCAGCTTGATGTTAAGGGGAAAATCTAAATTTTGGGCTGAAAAATGAAAAATACGAGTTGAAGAAGACCTGTCAAATCTGAGTCACGCCGTATGATTTCCTGCCATCAGCTGGGATTAACATTTTTTATCTCTTCTCAGTGCTCACTGATTTTTCTTAACTACTAAATGTGATAGATAATGTTAAATTTAACTAACATGTCACCTTCTGTTTGTGATATTTCACCTGATATCCCAGCTGGTTTTGTCACATCTTTTATTGTCATTTTCAATCAACTATATTAGAAAATGATGTAAGTGACAAAAGAAAATAATCCATCCTGATTTACTTGTTAATTTGCATTATTTCTGCTGTCGTAGAAACTAATCCTGTGACCATGCAAGTAGGGGGCTGGTGTCTTGAAATACCTAATAACCCTGCAGAAATTTCACAGCTTCCAACACATACACCTGCACAGAGAGGAATCTGTGGAATGCTTGTGCAGCCCATGACGTCATTCAACAACACGTAAAACACGTGGAGTCCAGAAATAGAGCATTTCTGTGTTCGGGTAGGTGTAAAGACGCAGAGGAAAAATTCCAGTCACCACCACCCACGTCTTTACTATAGTCACTGATTAACTAGACTGCGTTGACTATTAATGATAACAATACTTTAGCTTACTTAAGCACTCACAGTCATAGAATTGACTCTATGGTGTTTAATGTTACTAAATACTTATTAATGGCAAAGTCTCCTTGTTTGATTCCTAACTCCGGGGTAAACAGACTTGCTCTTGTCACAGCGATCATCGCTGGGCTGGATTTTGGTGTAGCCGTGTTGAACATTGACTCAATAAATGGAAGTCTTTATGGCAGGTTATTATAGGGCGCTTGATACCACTTTGAGGAAGGTCAATGGCCAGGTTTAAACTGAAGTGTGCAGTGCCAGCTGTAATAACTTCACTCGATATGGTAGCCTACGATAATTGCAGAGCGGGGAACTCATCTAGATGAACAAACATTAGCCTCGGGAGGTTATAGGGACGTCTAGATTAAGTGAAAGTTGCCTGATGCATGAGGAAGTAAGGGACAAAATTTGGAGCACTGGTTGACAACCACAGTAACTGCAAGGGCAGTTAAGGTGTAAACCATTCATCCAGAGCATGCTGGGATTCCAGCTTACTCATTCCTGGAGTGGGTTGCACCATGACACTAGCTTGAGTGTGTAAAGTTTTTTCCGATGTCCTTAGTAATCACTGTAGTTCCAAACCATTGCTTTACTAAATTGGGTTGCACCATCAAAACTTAAAAGTTTCAGTTGAAACTTAAAGGGACAGTTCACCCTCAAATCAAAAATACATATTTTTCCTCTTACCTGTAGTGCTACATATCAGTCTAGACTGTTTTGGTGTGAGTTGCCAAGTGTTGGAGAACTAGATGACACTCAGCTTGTGGTGCTCAAAGTGGCAAAAAAATACATTTGAAAAACTCAACAGCAATGTCTCTTTCCAGAAATCATGTTTCGTGTACGAACTACTTTCTTTCTACCAAACTACACTAAACTGTATCATCACACAGAAGGAAGCGTGCATCTACTGCTAGCTCACCTAGCACCACCCAGCTAGCTAACGTTACAGCTCAGCCGAGGACCAGGCCATTAATGTTTACATGTCCCACTTTTATGAGCATGAGCCTCTTGTCCACGCTTCCGTCTGCGCGGTGATACAGTTGGCGAAGGAAGTGTGCATCTACTCATGGACAAGAGGCTCATACTTGTGACAGCTGAGCTGTAACATTAGCTAGCTCAGTGGTGATGAGCCCCAAATTTATCAGCTGCAAAATTAGAGCGATGCTCATATTAATTAATCAATAATTATAATTCAAAAATACAAAAGCTTATATAATACTCTGAAATGGACAATTTTGCATAATGAGCAATGAGCAAGAACAATTTTGTTCTTTGAGTATATTTTGATGCTAATATTTTTGTACCTTTACTAAAGTAAAATTTACTTGTAACAAAGTATTTCTGTTTTGTTGTATTGTTACTTTTATGAAGTAAAAAATCTGAATACATCTTCCACCACTGCATATAATGTTTTGTGTGGAACCTTGAGATGCGCCTTGGTGAGGACTTGGCTCAGATTAATCTGATCCTGTTTGGTTCGGTGGGGGAAACCACTTGCGACCACATGACGTCAACCCAGGCGGGGTTTGGACCCACCATTGCATAAAATGATCAATATAATACTGATATCAGTGACATAAGGAAGTTACACCGGGCCCCAGTGCACGCTATTATGATGAGCCCTATAGTGCATGCCATCGTGCATGTACTGTCTTGACACATAATAATACTTAATTATTTTGTTTGTTTTCACCATGTCCCACTTGTTTCCTATATGTAATACTTTATTATCGTAGATTATATTTTATGTTTGTCAGGTATGATGTATTTTAAGCACAGTGAGTTTATGCTTGATGCTTGATGAAATGTGTTACATAACTAAAGTTGACTTGACTTGACATTGGACAATATCAACACACATATTACCCAACATTCATCACTGCATATCTGACAAAAAGTAAGAAGCTAATCCATGAATTGAATAGTTTTTGTAGTATATTTATAGATATAGATAGCTCATATAGAAAAAGCATATCATTTTGTTTTAGATAGCTACTATTTCAAAACCTGAAACGAAAAAAGAAACCCATGATGAACATGGGTTTGCCTTTTTGAGGACATATATAGCAAATGGCACCATTTTTAAATCAGGAACATTCTTTTTTTTATCATTTATCTTTGAACACAGGTATATGTCAAAGGTGGCAATCTGAATCACTAGCAAGGGCCTGCTTTCTCAACACGCCCCTCCACACCAGGGGCCCCAGTGCAGTGTCTTTTTGTTGTTGTTCTTGTGACAAACTGGGTTAATCTCAGACGCCGTAGTGTATGTTTGGAGACCCTAATACATCTTTTTGCCTCTAAACCTACAGCAACCAAGCTAACAACAGCTATTTTGGCCCTTACAAGCTGCCATTATGAGGGTTTTCCCAAAGCTCACTGGGACAGAAAGTCCCTTTTCATGAAAGAGTTAATGAAAGGATGAATGAACTCCTTCCTGGAGGACATATTAACAGTCAACCCTTTGTTTCCTTGTAGGAAACAAGAGCATCCTAATTAACTCTGAATGATAACACTCATGTGTGACCCTCTTGACAGGGTACAGACCCCAACTCCAACAGATACATGACCTCACTGGTGCTCCCTGAAATATGCATGATCCTGACACAATGTGGAGTGGGGAGACAAGCTCAACACTTGGGTGAATGGGTGAAGACAGTAGAATGAACAACTACAACTCAACATAAATATATTTGATAATTTTAAACTCCTTTGGTTGCCTTATTTGTAACTTTAATTCAAATATGAATTATTCTGTTTTAACTAGATTGGTTCCTCATATATTTCTGTAGTTTTAAAACATGACACAACAGCTTAAAGACAGCTCTCACACTAACTGACTCCTCCATGTCAGACTTACCTGTGTCAGCACTGTTGATGCCAGAGCTCCGTGTTCTGCTCCTTTCAGTTTCCCTCCACGCCAAAACACTGCGGTTCACAGCAACTTCTACCTGCCTGTGCTTGAGGAAAAGCCTGGAACATAGTAACCTGCCTTGTTTCTCCATCGTGTCGCTCACACGTGTCATTAGTTACGCTGTTGTCCGGTGATTCTCACCTCAACTTTGTTACGGCCCGCATAACAAACCGCTGCTCGGTGTGTGGAGTGCGTGTATGGTCGGCCCGGGCTGTCAGGAGGAGAGGGACTACACAGATCGTCTATAAGACAGATGACTCACTCAGGAGTCAAAATGAAGCTGGCCTACTTTCCACACTCTGATGTCTTACAGGAAATATACAGTGGAAATAATAGGGTTGATTTAAATTACATTTTTTTCTGCATTTATAAGCAGAGCAGACCAATATTATGCAACATATGTTGGCCTCAGATATATTTGTAATGATTTTTTAATTAATGTTTGACAGTTTGTTTCATTTTATTCCACATACATAATTACAAAACAAAAGGGGATAAAAATATTTTTAAAAAAATGTATGCATATGAGGGTGTGGTAAAAATCTGTGCATACTTATATGAAAACCATACTCAGAAGACATAGAAGTGGTAGTGTATTTTAAATACTAGATACATTCAGAAAAATGTCACCATATAAGTATACAATTAATTTAAATATAATGTAATTGTTATATATACTAACAGCATGAACAACATTTCCTAAAAGTGATCAGTGTTGTTGTAAATCAAATGGTAATGTCTTTTTTTGTACAAAGACAATGACACAGTTCAAAACAAGGAAACAATCTTGTAGTCCTAGATACTAAAATCTTAAAAACCTAAGTGGTGCTTAAACTTTGTACTTCATGGGTGTAAATTTTAGGGGGGGGGGGGACACAGGGGACACATCCCACTCAATGTTTAGAACATGCCCATTTGTCTTCCTTTGAATAAAAACATGAAAATAGGCTAACAGAGGATTTATATTTTGACATTACACCAGAAATTGATGCAGAAAAAATTTACAAAAATGCGCAGAACTTCTAACTTTGACTCTCAAAATTTTCTGGTGGAGTGCTCCATATGTGTCCCCCTCATTTTGACTCAAGACTAGGGTAGAGCTGAATACTCAGATGAAACAAGTATCCGGTATAGATAGTGTGCTTTTTATTAGTACGAGTGTCATAAGAGTAAAATGTGTCATTATCTGTACTTGTGATGAAGAAAAATCCTCATTTAAGTAGGTGTTTAATCTGTTTTGATTAAAAAAAAATCATCAGGAACTCAATTCTGAATACTGTTCTGTGAATAATTTCCTCATAGGTAACAAATATTGCAACTTCTGATCAATCCATATACATTTTAGGCTTAAAATAACAACTTCCGATTAGGCCCAACCCACTTCGGATAAGCCACGTCCATTTCAATCGTAAGCCCCGCCCACTCCGAGTACAGATACAGATAATTTAGTTGGTTGATCAGATACACACAATATAATGGTGTACTCACTCATCCCTGATCGAAACCTACACAGTTGGTTTACGACGCTGGTAAATGAAAAATTCTCACAGATGTGTTGATTTATTGATCAGCAGTAAGTGATGCTACTTTATCCAGAGATTTAATTTCTTTTCTTCTTAAAGCTGACTTTTTATGGCTTGTAAACACATTGTAAATGAGTAGTATTTGTAATTGTCTTATTAGCAGTAATCTGGGTTTTTGTTTAATTTCATTTAAAGGTCCAGTATGTAGGATTTAGTGGCATGTAGCGCTAAGGTTGCAGAACTGGAATTTCTCCCGTGTTCCAAGCGTGTAGGAGAACTATGGTGGCCGACATCGAAATGGAAGTGTCAGTGAAGTCACTGTCTTAAGCCAGTTTTGATTTGTCCGTTCTGGGCTACCGTAGAAACAACATGGCGGACTTAGTGGAAGAGGACCCGCACCGTTTTTAGAAATAAACGGGTCATTCTAAGGTAAGGAAAACACAGTAAGTCTTATTTTCAGGTGATTATAAACTAATGAAAACATACTTATTAATATTATATACCATTTCTAACAGATGCCTCTAAATCCTTCACACTGGCATTTTTAAAAGAAAATGAACATCTTAAATGTTTAAGCAGAACACATCTGCACAAGTAAGACAACTTTTCCCACTTTCCCACCAGCACCAATTCCCTATCAGCATACATGCAGTGGCAGTACCTGAATATTGTGACAGAGTGAGAGCTCTGTCTTCCATCCTATCTTCTTTAACCCTGTGGAGCAAACACTGCATCAGCACGTTGCGTAAACACATAAGCCCTCTAATTCATGACTCAAAGCAGTTATAGCTTCCATACTGTTCCAGACTGAAGCTGAATAATTACCTTAACCTCTCATAACCTCCAGACAGTGACGAGGCAGACACTGGCATTAACAGAAATGATGACTAAACTGTGTTTGCCCTCCAAAGCATCCTCACCTCTGCTTTTAGCTGAGTGGAAACCGGACTCATTTTAGGATGATGCAAATAATGTGACAACAGAGATCATGTCTCTTTACCTACAGAGTTTGCCTTTGTTTGCTTTGTGTGTGACATAGAGTGAAAGACAAATAAGAAGACGGTTACGGGAGGTATTGTCGAAGCAAATCCGCTGCCATGACACTGGGTTGACTATGGAATTGAAAGTGCATATTTATGTTCAGGCCTCCAAAAGTCAGCAACATTTTGTACATTTACACTCTGACATCTCTCCAATTTGTGCATGTATAGGTCCTGTTTGTGCATGTGTGTGTCTTTCGGACCTGTGTGTAATTGACAAGCAAGAATGAAAACATTGAATTTCTCCTCAGGGGATTAATAAAGGAAATAAACTTAAACTTAAACTTCACTGTGGAGTGTAGGTCAATAATCACTGATTAACCACAGCGACATTCTCTCAGTGCAACACAATACATTATGTTCATATTCAGTCATTTTAGCCAAATGAGGATTAACTAACTGTCTGTTAGTCCTCACTCACTTACTGGTTTTTATAGATAAATATTACTCTTAAAGTTACTCTTTCACACCAAAAACAAAAATACATATTTTTTCCTCTTATCTGTAGTGCTATTTTTCAGTCTATTGTTTTGGTGTGAGTTGCAGAGTGTTGGAGATATCCTCTGTACAGGTGTCAATATTCTGTCGAATGTAATGACCTGGTAACTCAAGATAATCCATAGACATTATTATGTGCAGTTTTATGTAGGAACAATTCTCTTTCTACACCCACCAACTGCATCATCGTGCAGAAGGAAGTGTGCATCTACTCATGGACAAGAGGATCATGCTTGTGACAAGATGAGATGTAAACTTTAATGGTGTTTTCTTTGGCTGAGCTGTAATGTTGGCTAGCTGAGTGGTGCTAGGTGAGCTAGCAGTAGATGCACACATCCTTCTGCATGGTGATATGGTTGGTGGGTGAAGTTTGGTAGAAAGAAAATAGTTCCTATATGAAACTGCTCACATTAAGGTCTGTGGATTATCTTGAGTAACTGGGTCACGATTTCTGCAAAGTGAGTTTTTCAAATGTGTGTTTTTGGTGCTTTGAGCACCACAAGCCGAGTGCCATCTAGTTCCATTATATTGGAGAACAGGCAGAAATCTCTACGGCTGATCTCTAACACTCAGAAACTCACACCAAAACAATCCAGATAACGGGGTCTTAAGTGTTTTCCAGGCCAAGGACCCCTTTGCTGAAAGAGAGACGGAGCAGCTAGCTACAGCCTTCAGCGGCTCCAGTACATCCAGAACAGTGCTGCTAGGATCCTGATGAGGGTGCGCAAACACGACTACATCACCCTCATCCTTAAATCACTTCACTGGCACCCCATCTCACTCAGAGTCGAGTTCAAGGTTTCCCTCCTCACCCACCAGTGCATATACGGAAATGTATCGAAAATTTTCCATTGACCACTTTTTTCATGTCACTTCCATCCTTATATATCCCATGTAATGCTTTGATCATGTGTTCTTTTCTTTTGTATCACTTTTGAGTGCTTTTTTCTGTTTTAATTGTAGTTCATTGTACTATACTGTTGTTTGTATCATTTGTTTTATAGCATTTTGAGATTCCTTGGAATGTAAAGTGCATTATAAATAAAATGTATTATTATTATTATTATTATTATTATTATTATTATTATTATTATTAGCAGGGACGCCCCTACTATGTATATTGCATAAAACTGAGTTGCACTTGAGCTAATTTTCTGAAGTATTTTCAGGTCTTCTCTTATTTGCACTTCCCTGTACCTGTTCAGTCAGCAGCAGTTGTAGCATGGCTAGGTGCATTAGCTTCACCGTCTGCACTTTTGCCGCAGGTTTCTGAGGTGGACGATGTGTCAGAGTCTTGCTCAAAAAAGTTACAAACCAATCCCAAACTAATACCATTATGGCTCACAAGAATGTCTGTACACTTGACATACCATTAATATACAGCTTACTGGCCAGCGTCTGAATAAAAAAAGGTGTCGTAATTTAGTGTGAGCTAGCTAACAATTGCACAAAGATTCATGGGTAACAGTTAAACCTATCATTAATGTTGTTGCCTGTGAACTTAAAAAAGACTCATGAAAAGACCAATTTATCTAAGCTAGTAATATATTAGAGTCTTGTTAATGGGTATTTTCAGACTCATTTTAAAACTTAAATGAAATTATCAAGGGGTAATTTGGCGATCCCCATAAAGTAACTCTACGGACACCTTTGGGGTCACGGACCTCCTGTTGAAGACCCAGGATCTAGACTGAGAATAGCACTTGAGGTGAGAGGAAAAATATGTGTTTGATTTTAGAGTGAAATGTCTCTTTAAATGAATAAAAATAAATAAATCAGTCAGTCTCTTTATAACCATAGAGTACTCACTGCACTGTAAATTTCATTATGCTTTAATGGTACATATTGATATTTATATGATGATTTAGTTCATGTTCTCTCACACCCCAGAGAGTGTGAACTGATTAATTGGCTTGGTGATGACTTGGTAAACCCTGCAGTCAGTAATGATCATTGCATCAATCAACACAAAAATGTATTACAAAAGAAATAGAAATGATATTCTGTAAACACACCATCTTTTGAATATGGTGTCTGAATAATGATAATAATGTATGAAAACAGTATATAAACAATTCAAAACAACAGTCAACCATTACTATAACTATAAA